TAGTTCTAATAGTAACATCTCTACATCCCTGCTTAATCCCTGGCATAAGCATATCACAGTGGTCTAATTTGTGTCCAGTGGCTTATTTAGCCAGCAGACTCTTTAGAATTAGGGATGCATAATAAATTATGCAAAAGATTTACTTCATCTGATCTATAATAGCAGTCAGATGTACGGTTCTTGAAAAGCTAAAATGATTCAGAGCTGAAACTTACAGCAAAGATATTGAACATTTAGCAGAAGTTTCAAAAGGGCAAAGGATTCTGAATTGATAGAGGAAAAGAAATCTGTTGCAGAGAGGTGTGTTTATAGCATAACCTACGGACTACAGAATATCTCATCTGCTCCTAAGGATTCTTTTAATGCTTTTGTAAAATGAATTGCAGTATTCATTCGGAAGTGCTGAAAATTACTCTGTGAGCTGTTCAGGCAGTACTGCAAACTGCCTCCAGAAACAGCTTTCTGGGCAGCCTACCTACAAAACAAATGCTGCTCCTAATCACAAAGAAATCTGAAGACTTAGAACTGGATAAGGTTTTACAGACTGTGTGCTCTGAGAACATAAACACTGACAGGCCCAGTAGTACCAGAAACTAGATCTGCACTGCTGACCTCAGAAAACTGGAAGGAATCATGGATGATTAAAAAACTGCCTTCACACAGTATGTGAACATTATCTGCCCTTGAGAATTACATCCAGCTTTAAGGAAGAGACTTCTAGAAGTATGTGGACTAAAGAAATCTTTCCTTTAAGTTTTAAAGTTAAGATTTTAAGTTTACTTGAAGAAGGACATGTGTGTAGGAAGCTGATGAACTCTTACAAACATTATTTTCCTCACTTCAAGGGGGTACAATCTGTTTTGTGTGGATAGAAAAAAATAAAAGTTCTGAACTAAAAATTCGAAAATTCTATTAAAAAGATATCGTATCAATTCTGAGATGGCATTTGCAGTTACAGAAAAAGGGATGGAAGAGGTAAACTCAGTTGAACCTTGTATCAAGTTTGATCTGATAATTAAACTGGAAAAATGAGCATTTAATAAGGTGGCAAATAATGGGGGTTTCACTACCTGGCTCAGGAAGATGTTCACATAGTTATAACAAGACACTCTTTTTCAATATCAATCACTAACATCTTCTCTTGGAAGAACTACTTTATGAATACATGCAGGAATGGTATGGAGTCCAAAGTTCTAAGTCCCACTGACTTCTTGTATTTATAAGCACTTGCTTTCATTTAAATCACATTTCACAGCTTTTCTGAGCTGAGATGCTTTCCTGAACACAGTCCTCATTCAGTCAAACTCAGAAGTATATGTATCTCCAAAACAAACCTCAGCTTGCAATTGCCTAGTGAAATGACCCTTGTTTTCATATACATAGAGTTACCAAGTTGCACGAGGTAACAGCATTGCATTCTACTCGTGTTTTCTGCCTCTGTAAAACCAAGAAAGCCCCCAACAATCAATAAACTTACACAAAGTGCATTACCTATCTTCCAGCTTAGAAGTAACTCGCTGCAGAATCTGTGTGGCCTGCTTGTGGTATTCCAGCTGGGCTTGTACAAGAGCAGAAAGCTGGCTCACTTGTTCAATCTGAGGATTGACATCAAAACATCAGATCTTAGGCAAGAACTAACAGCTTAGCAACAGCGAGTAAAGACCACTGTCACACTGACACTGCAAAGGCAGTTTTACTTATCTCTCTAAAAACTTGATTTTCATCTTGATAGTTTGTAAATAGTTACATATCAGTCTTTATTCATACCCGTGTCTGGTTATGACCTGATCTGGAATGGTAACTGCAGCTCTTCTCCGCTGATGATCTCCATGGCAGATTTGCAATGAACAGCAGCCTACAGACCTACCTCATTCAGCAAAAACTATGAAAGTAAAAATGAGACTGTCATGAGAGCATAATACAACTTTTCCCTCCCTGCCTTTGAGAGGCACAAAACCAGAGTGACTATAGTCATGCTTCTGGCCTGTGAAGCAAACCAAAACGTTAAGATGCTACATACTCTTGGATACAGAGTATTTGTAGTGAAGGCAGATGGCATTCTACTTCATGAGGGAAGAAACACCCAAAACTTTTGTCTGGGAATGCAATTGCTAGCAATTTCCAAAATACACAATGCAGCAATGGTATAATGCAGGCCAGCACTATCTGGTCCCACAGCGTTGGATGTCACTACAAGGATTAAAACTATGATCTTGGTATACTTCTTTCATTTCAGCACAGCTATATGTGATTTCTAGCATGCAAGTATTTTCAGGTTTGTCATGGCCCCTCTATAGCAATCTGGTAATGAAGAATTAAATCAGGTGTATATTTAAACTTGAAATAAATCCAATCATTTACTTCAACAGAAATATTTAAACTGAGTTTCTTTTGAACAAGTATTCTATAAGACAAATTTCAGCTGAAATACTTTCTTTTTTCCTCCAAAAGAAAGAAATTTTTCTTCTTTCTTGATTTTGTAATTTTAACATTAATTATAAATAGAAGATTAAAAATACCTAATAGATGCTCAATCCTTAACCAGTCTGTATGCAAAAAATAAGCTGCAGAGTCAGATTTGAGCAGTCACATTAACTTCAGCTTTCCTATTCACTACTGCAGCTGATTACAGCATAGATCATGGGGATGTGAGTTCATCACCTCTGATCTTTACCAATCCTCTCAAAAGCCCACACACCTGAACAAACATCTTGGCTCAAACCTTAAAAGCACAACTAAGTAAAAGTCATGACTTATATTTGTATAATTCTAAGAAGGAAGTTATATTGGTTTTGTAAGTAACACTACACAGTTAGGAAGTGCAATGATGCCACAGAGGATTTATGTTCTTTAGCTCAGCTACCTATAAAATTAGTCCTACATGTGCATGCTGTACACTACTATAGCTTCTGAGCCTTTCACTGAGTCCAACAAGGAGGTTAAGTAATTCCCCATTGCACAGCGATAGGAAACTATGGTGTGAAGGATTTAATAAGGCTTTCTAGTTTCAGACTGCTCTAGATGGCCTTCACTGCTCTTTTTCAGATTCAGCTCAAAGATTAACAAGGGAGCTCACATCCATCTCCAGAAGGTTGAACATGCTTGACTCGGCAATTTCTTTTGATTCATCAAATTTCTCCAGAGCCTGGCGAAGTTCTTCATCAGGGAGCTTGCCCTGTCTTTTCTTCTTGTAATCGAAATCCAGGCGTCGACCCTCCATTTTCTTTAGGTGATGCTGAAAAACAAGAACACAAATACAAGCACAGAATAAAGGATGTTCCCCAACTCTTACACTGCATTGTGATCAGGTAGTTATGTACCTTTGCAAGCATGTGCTGTTTGCTGTGTATCAATGCTTCCCCACAGAGGAGAAATGCAGATCAATCAAACAAGTAGTTTTACATACCATTTAAGAAGTGATGGTGTGCTGCTGTCTAACATTAAAAAAAGGCCATGCAGAATGGATAACTGCAACTTGCCATCTGTATAGTATATACGTGAGTTTATAGCTTTTTAACTCTGATGCACAATTACCTGAACACTATGCTTTTTCCCTACAATTAAAATAAAACTTTATTAAAAGCAGTTTTGCAACAAAACTGAAAAGTAAAACTCGTGTCAAAAGAGACTATAATCAGAAATCTGATCATCTCTAAATCATTTTAAACTACGCAACTAACATAAACCTTCGAACATACACACAGTCTGCACATTTGGTATTATTAAAATGCGACATTGAGGGTAATACCTGTATTTCTCTCAGATCTTTGTCATGGAGATTCTGAAGTGGGTCAATGAAGTTTTGTTTCACTTCCATGTCTAGAGAGTCCTTGACCTCAGAAAGCTCCTTCATAGCTTCTCCAACATCTGCAAGTGCTGGTCCTGAAAGAATAGATGCCCAGTTTGTTTCAAAATAACTTAAGTTCCAAACCACCTTAGAATGTTGGTCTGAGTCATAACATTTCCCAAGTCTAGGAAAGAAAAAGAGTATAATACACTGTGTGAAAGGACAACATGGATTTTACACTTCTGCAGCCCCCAGAGTTTATGCCTTGCAGTACAGCTAAACCTGAGGATCTATGCTGCATCAAGACAGCTTTCTCCACACCCCATGGAAGGGTTGTTTTCCATTCATTGCTCACTCTGGTGAAGCAAACATGCTAGAACAGAATTATCTGTATTTGCTCCAGGATTGCCATCACCAGACACGAAAGCGCATAGAAAATAGCTCTAATGCAAGTCTAGGTCTCCCTGTTTCCATCAGTGAGACTGGAGACAGTATAAAACGTAAAAATTCTTAACAATTTCACAGAACCTTTTTATGAAAGATTTTTTTTTTAATGAAACTGTTGATTTCATGCACCTACTCAAGTTCATAAACTTCAAGAACAAATAGCTGCTTTCTGAGACTTCCTCCAAGATTGAGGGCCAGAAATATTAGCACTCTGCACAAATTTACCCCTGTGCATAAAAACGCAAGAAGCTCAAAAATGAGTGCAGGTTGGTGGGAAAAAAACCCCACACTTTCAAAGAATACACAGGGTCTTAAAACCTAGAAATGTGAGAAATTGGAAAGAGTTTTGTCTCTCAAGCAGGGGATACCAGCAACGCACTGCAAAACAGGAGAGCCTGCCAGACCCAGATGAAGAGTGACAAACAGCTGTAATAGCTGCTATTAGTTAAGAATGTGAAAATAATTGTTCTATCTACTCTGCTGCATGCTACCACAATCATCAGGGAATATACAGCAATTTGCAAAAACTAAATTCTATTAGTTCTTTATTTCCCCTTTAAAAATGTGTTTGAAATTTAGCAAATGAGAGGCAAACTATGAAAAAATAATCAGTAGTCTTTAGCACTAATCAACTTCCATCTGCCAAGCTAACTAGGAAGTTATATAAAACGAACAAGAAAATATGTTTTCCAGGGCCGATGTCTTTATGTCAGGAGCAACATGTTATGAAGATTCAAAAAGGAAATAGAATTTTCACAGTCCTGTTTGAAGTCCTGTGTGTTGCCATATAAAAATTTGGCCACAGAAGCTCACACAAATAGGACAGAAAGACAAAGGATCCTGTCACATATTTCATCTTTTTTAGTTGGACCTCTCCTGTTGACGAATACAATATTAAGTCTCAGTTTAACATTTCTAACTTGGACAGCTATAAACTTATGCGGGGCTTGGAGGGAGGAGTGGTTGACAGATAAGACAGGAGTATTCACTAGTCCTTAAAATGTAGAATTTAGTCAGAAAAAAAGGTCTAAGTCTATTAAAAATCTATCAGCTTTTATGCTTTGCCTGTAACGACAGTAACTTTTGTTATAAGGATTCTGAGGACAAAGGGTTTTATTGTACACATGCACAGACAATTATACAACTTCTGAACATGTACATCTTTCATCCCAACACATCCCCAGTAGTCTATGACAGAGTGCCTAAAGCCTATATGGATATGGGTCCAAATGGAAACAATTTGACTTTCATACACAATAAAAAAATCTCTAGTCTAAATCCATAAAAGATATTCAACAGTCCCAGTCCTAGTTTATCCTTAAAGGAGAAGTGTGATGAAGCATAACTCTGATGCTTCTTGCAGAAGTTGTTCTTTGTAAGAGCATAACACTTCAATAATGACAGTTATATTAAATGTTACTACCATTTTTATTGCATTACTATGGAAAGGGAAGTTACCAAAGTTGCATTCTTCTCCAAGCTCTCGTCCAAATTTCAGCATCGCATCTGCCAGCAAGGCTTCAGCCTGAGGGTAACCTGGTCCCTTTTCCTGGCCTCGAATTTTTGACATAGTGTTGATCATGCTGAGTTTAGCTCTGGAAGCTGAAGCAGGCAAGTGACAGAGGTTACAAACGTGCAATAGTTTGATTACACAAACCGGAATGCACCCCTTAGATTTACGTGAGCTAACTACTATGTGTTTGAAGGACATCATTATCTAAGTTTAGGACTATGCCCTGGTTTTCAACAATTATTTTTAGAGCAAAGGAATGAAGTGTTGTTGGTCACAGATATTTTTTTCTTCTGTTTGTAGGCCAGAGAGGATGCTCTGTCCTGAACTTTAAGTCAAAGCCTCCCCTGAAACTATGTGGACAGAGAAAGCCCAGGAACACTTCCAAGATAACATGTTCAACACATGCTACAACGCCGGCAGAAAAATCTTTAATCCCCAATACCTATCTTAAGATTCTTGGGTACCAGATGGATAGCAAGTTGAGCCAGCCTTGCTCTGAAGGAAAACTCCAGACTAAACTGGAATTTAATCCAAGAATAAACTGTAGTGCCTTACATATTTTAAACGTTTGAAAGCTTTTCTGTTGTAGAATATTAAATAAAACCTATATTCCCAAACATGATGTTCAACAACCTTTGAAATTCTTTTTGCTTTTTATGGGGACTTGGGGAAACTCTATTTCAGTATGGTTTTCAACTGCATTTTTGCCTTGTATTTTATTTCTGACTCACAAATATCAGATCAGAAGAAAGCACACAATTATCATAATTGATGAAAACAAAGACAGCAAACATAAAAGAACAAATTTGTTTGATGATGTGCTTTAGCGAATTTTTGCAAGTATAGAATGTGAATGGCCTGCAGAGAGTGAATTAATTAATGGCACTTCAAATTTCACCAGCTAAATCCTACTGTCAGCAAGCTGACTCAGTGGGTGTTTCTACCTACATTACTATGTGTGCTACAGTGGGGCAGCTACAAATGCATCTACCTTCCTTTTTGCAAAGGCTTGACTTTGTTAGTTGCTCTTAGTATTTCTGCTTACAAAACATTAGTAGCTCACACTTTTGTGTGCTGATTGCACTGGTCAAAATTCAACCTTGTATGCATTTCTGCAGCAAAACATAACACTAGCAGTCTGGAGTTAACAAGTGATTGCTCTTAATTTATTGTGTATCAAGAGATGGTTCTTGTTGCTGAGTATGTTTCACTTCGTGGCATACAAGTGTAGAAACAGACACAGGAAAATCAGGCGAATGTCACAGTACTGATTTTGCCTGAGAAACAGCTATGAAAGGATAACCTTTTTTTTAACATACAGTAAATATGTTTTTGTAAGCTTTCTCACTACATTTGAGTGTCACCAGATCGTGCTTTTCAGCATCTGAATTTCTTGATGCCTTCTGTTTCTACCCACTACAGAACTACAGTCAGCAGACTGGCTGACTGTTCAGTACAAGAAACTGCATTTTAATGAAGTGTCTCGCTTTCAAAAATGGCATCAGAACTATGGTGGCAATGAAAAAATACAGAAGTGCAAAAGAAACTAAGATGCAAACAAAATCAGTCAGGGTAATGGAGACAGCAAGCTTAATTAAAACAGGAATATATGAGAGTATTTTCAGAAATAAAATAAAAAATAAGAGGGAATATTAAATTAAGTGGCAATCTTCTGGACAGGTAGGCAAGAGTAGAAAGAAAAAGGAACAGGAAAGAAAGAAAAGAGATCAAAGGACAATAAGGGAAGGGCAAGCAATAAATCATAAAAAGAAGAAAGGTATGCAAGAAAAATTCATGCTTCAATGATTCATTTAATCATTTAATAATGATTACTTTAGAAACCTGATTAAGTAAGAAATCTCAGAGTACCTCTACCAGTGGTCTCATTCCACTTTTCTTCTACTAAAGTTGTTTCCACTAACTTCCATGGGAGCAGAGGTGTTTGTGCTCAGTCAATATCAAAATCCCATCTGAGCCCTTTTATTTCTATTGCTTTTTTGTGGTATTGCGTGTGCTTTCCTCTCTAAGTTATGTTTCAATCTGAGTGAGGATAGGCAGAGATCCACAAAATACCAGGTGGAAGTGACCTGAATACTTGAGTTTTTTCCAGTTGGCGGTCCCTCACCTTTACATTGGCTTTCATGGTGTCACTAACGATTCACCTTAATATGAAGTGTTAACAGCACCATGGCAAATTGTAAGAATATTGCCAGAAGAGTTTGAAAGAAACTTCAGCAGTGGCTTCATCTGATCATTTTTTGTATTTTCAATCTTGTTCATCCTTCACCCTCTTTTTCTTGAGTTCATGGTCATGTACATCTGCATGGAAAGTCTTTGAGCTTTCAACACATTCAATTTTGATTATTTTCAGCTGTCCTTTTTTTTTTTTTTCTTTTTTTTGAATAAGTGGTAAGTCTACAAAGCTATCTTTTTCAGTCACACTAACCTGGGCCCCAAGTCTCTTTCAATAAATTCACCTTTGCCTCTAATACCCTTTCCCCTTCCTTTCCTTTTCCTACCCTTTCTCCTTCCCCTTTCCTTTTCCTTTTTCTTTCCAGCATTAGTTAATTAATTGTTTAGTGAAGTTAGTCAATGCTAAATACTTCATTTACTGATCCTCCAAAGCACCATGAACCCAATTATCTTTAGCACTGCACTGTTACCCAAGAATATTGGTGTTTTCAGGGCACATGTTATTATCAAGGAGTATATGGACTATTGTAATAGATGGGAACCTAGCTGAGAGTTGATTCCTGCTCATCACTGAGAGACATAAAGAAGTATGGTTTTTGCCAAAGGATATTCCATACAGTATATATGTTTATGTTCATCATGACTGTTTGTTGGAAAGAGCCAGGAAAACACAGGTGTGCAGTTGTTCTATGACCTTCATACTTTGCCATACAGGATGCCTGGCCAACGCTCTTGGTGCAGACAACAAACAGCGAGATCATGAGAAACTGCATGGCCCCACGAGTAAACAACAAGAAAGCTGGCATAAAACCAGGTTTTTTTCTAAGCGTATAAAAGCAGGACCCTCTTGTAGCTGAATCTGAAGAGTCACCTATGGGTGGATGCACCTTGTAGGAATTTTCCCCGTTACCTGAGACTCCCAGCATCAGCTACAACGGGGCTTCCCAGCTTGAAGTGTGGGCCTGTATGATGCTTCGGTGGTAACTGGTGACATATTTCTTCTTAATCTCTGTTCTCGCTACGCAGCAATTTTTTTGATGCATTCCTAATTTTCTTCCGTGCCTTATATATCTCTATGAATTGCTGTATTGTACTTGTTCACTATAGAGATTTATACCTGATTCACGTTAGTGTGCTTATTCACTTTAGTGTGCTTGTTTAATAAACTGTACACAGTATACAGCTAGTGTACAGTGGTTTTGTTGAGTACCCTGCCTGTTTCCAGAATAGCTACATCCCAAACACTCTTCTTCCCGCGAAACCTATGCAAACTTGTAAAGACAATCTTCTGTTAAATATTGTTGTTAAATAATTTTTTTTTCTCATTGCATTTCTCCCCTTTCCCAGTGATGCTTCTGGTTTTTATGAGAATGAGAAAGCAAACAGGAAATCCTGGAAATCAGCATTTCTGGTGCCCCAAGTAAATAGTAATATAGCAGGGAGAATTTTAAAGAAGAATTTTTTTATTTTACTGAAAATAGTAGTAATTTTCTATGCAATTCTTCTCACTATAGGGAGTAGTTTTGCAACTGGCATAAAACATCCTAAGATCAGGTGAGAACTAAAAAGAATCAGTCCTCCTTTCCTCTTACTCCATCTGCTATCTTTGCCCAGCTGTGGAATGAGTAACATGATCTCATTTGATATGCAAGAAATTAAATCTTCCTCTTGCCTATTACAATTTTAAATTTTTTATTCTACTTGCACGTGCCACAGGCAGATGAAGAGATGTATAGCTAGATGTCGTGGTTTAAGCCAGGACACTAGAGTACGGAAACTGCTCTTTTCTGCAGCACTGCAAACTTGCCTCAGCCTGAGATGCCTGAAATCACACCCTTAGCTACTTCCAGAAATATAGCTTTCTGCTGTTGCTGTGAGCCTCTTTCACAATTCACAGCAATCATAATCACTCAGACGTGTGAGGAAGGCAGCCAGAGAAGCACTAAACAGCCAAAGCTTATTACTGAGTCTACACAATGATGCACAACAGCAGCTTGACAGCAGTTAACAATTTTATCACTAGCCCTACGTTTGTCAATCTATGGCTTTTCCTGCAGAGTGCTTCTTGACAATGAGCAATGAATCTGCAGAGTCAAGTCATAAACAGCATTTCATCTGTTGACATAGGAACTGTTCTAGTCATCATTATTTTCTTTCTAGTAGTTCTTGCACTTGTAAATATTATTCCTTCTTTTTTCAGTCTGCTGGCAGCATCATCAAAATACCCCCCCTTCCTCTTTTTCCAGCTATAAGGAAACAAATTCCTCATAGTGAATGAGAATTTGGTCTGTACTTCCACGAAACTCTAAGATACTTATGGTAGGTAGAGGGTCCCATCTTACCTTCACATTACCTCTGTTGACCCCACCTGTGAAGACAGCATTGACTTACTGAACCCTTATGCTTCTCATCACTGTTGTTGAATTAATGGTTTACTTGATTACAAGAGCTCCAGATCCCTGCTCCTTGTGAGGATGCTTTGCCAAGACAGGAGCATGCACCACTCTCTCGGTCCAATCACAAAAACCGTCCTTCATCTCCCCATAGAAATCATTCATTTATTTCTATTTTGAAGCTTCAATTCAGTCATCTCTGATTATGTTCTTTTATCTGCCCTTATCTCCAGTTCAACGGCTCTTCTGCACGCTCCCTTCTGTAGTAACTCTGATGAGGATAGGAAATCCCTAGAGGACTTGGTGAAAGCTCTTGTTATGTCTCCTCTTCCACCCTGGAGGAAGTTGTTTCAGAACTCTGTCTTTGCAGTCCCTGCAGACAATTTCCATTGTCTGCAAGGACTGCCTGCTCCTTTTCCCTCACACAGAATGTCTCACACAGACACCCTCACTGTGCCTGATCCTGATCCCCAGGTGAGGGCTGACGGCCTTATCCCATCCCCATACCCAGGTTGGTGCCTAATGCCCATGGCTGCTGCTGCGCCAGTACCCCCCAGCTGCCTGGCTAGAGCAGCAGAATCAGCCCTGGCAGCCAGGCACTGTCCTGCTTCCCCTGGGGAGCCTACAGCCAGCTCCAGCTCCCAGGGAGCCCCCCATTGCTAACAGTGCTGACGTTCAGATTCTGCAATTAAATACACCTAGATATACACCCCTTACCTAAAGCACTAATACACAAAAGGAAGACAAGCCTCCCACAGCCAGTCTCCATTCCCTCTGACAGCATAGCACAGAAGCTTGTGCTTACATTTGTCTTTTACTTCATGGTAACTTCACCAATTTTGTCTTGATCTGGACTGCACCAATGAGGATGAGATCATTCAGACTATATATATTGGTGAGACAGAGTGTTTTCAAAAAGTGCTCCAAGTACTGTAAGATGGTGAAATTACATTACCTGGATTGGGCTGAAGATACTCTATTGTCTTTGCCATTATCTCCATAACTGCCCTGCTGGTAACATCCACTTTCTAAATGACAAAGTTAAACAAAAAGAAACATGAAAAAGAGATGTTAAGCAAAAGGAAGAAGTTTTTCTCTCTTCTTTTTGTTCTTATAAATTCTTTTGACTTAATTTCTGTGTCCCTGAGAACTGCCAGTACCAGAATGGTGAAAAATCTCATACTTTGGAAATTCTCATACTTTGGAAAACTACCAAAGTATGAGCACACCATTTCAATTTATAGCAGATCCATTCTCAAGCGAGGACGTTAGTACAGAGTACCTTACGATGTGTTAGGAATTTGATGTAACTCATAGTACCGTGCTGACACTTTTCATAACCTTGGGAAACACCCACAACATAGAAATTTTTTTGATAGAACAGTCACTAAAAACTATTGGAAGAATCAGCCATCTTTGGTCCCCTAATAACTGACAAAATGAGGGGAAAGCTGATGTCAGTGAAAACCAACCAGCAGTGATAAACCGAGCTGCCTACCTCTTTCAGAGCAAGGTCTGGTAAAACTGAGTTAAGGAAGACTAGCTATCACTCAGTTTCCAGTTTCAAGAAACCTATCAGCATTGACGCACTGGCCATTGATTTCCCCTGGCTGACTCCATGAAGAATTATTTTATATTTAGGAATCTAAAATACTTAAAACTGAAAAGCATTACTTGCTTCTACTGTAATAGGAATTCTTGCTTTCTTAAGAAGTATGCTGCATCAGCTTACTAAAGCTGCTTATAGCAAAGTATGCAACTATTCTCCCTCTCAGAATCAGGCTTCAAAGAAAAAAATGCTGCTTTGGCAGGTTTGGGGATCCCTGTAACCTGTTCTGTACTCTGCATTTATGAAGACACATTGCATTTCTCTGCAGGGTAGCTCATGTCCCACAGGGTGAACTCCTTTACCATAATGGCAAGTTCCTATTTTAAAGGAGAACACCTGAGATAGGTTGTTTGCAGCACACTGTGACTGACGTCTTTCCCGTTTCCTCTTGCCACTGCCATCTGCCAGGTCTTGCCCTATGCTTTACACAAAGAAGCAAAAGTGGTCTGCCAGCCCTGGGTGACAAAGTAGCTGAACTGCCTGGTAGAGAGCCCAGAAATGGCTGGAAGGCTGCAGAGGAGAGTGGGGGTGAGGGAACAGAAGGCCAGGGATAGGCAGAAGGAGCGTGTCCACTGCCTGCAGAAATGCTGGCAAGGAACACGGGGCCACGCGGGGAGTGTGGAAGCAAGCAATGAGTTTACTCCATTCTCTTCTCAACTCTTAGTGCTTTTGCCTCCTGGGCTGCCAACCCATGCCACCCACCACCACTACGTGGGACTCACCCCTGGCTCTGTCAGTGTCCTATTTGCCACTCTAAACCTTGGACCAGTTTTCTGAATCTTTGTTAACATCTTCCAGTTTTGACAGCAGTGCCCATACTTGTGGCACATTCAACGGGAAGCTGGGCAGAAGGGGAGAAACCAACTCTGAAGTACTTTCACAGGAAGAAGTACAAAGGATGTGCCCTTCTCCTTTATTTTCTCTCCAAGCTTTTTTACCCAGCTCACTATAAAAATGTTCAAATAGCTTCTGTTCCTCTTGATCAGTTATGTACCACATACATACCCTACAAATCACCTAGCAGTAGCTTGTTACAAGATTTGACAGAACCTTTCAAAGTTGAAGCCAGAAAAAGCCTGTCCACATTTATCCTTCCAACTGAAATACTGTCACCATCACACACAGCTGTGGCTTTTTCCTCTCCCCGCCTCCAACAGAAACACTCAGTGGTACCACTGCCAGCCTCACCAAGCAGTCTGCTGGGGGGTTAGTCCCATCTACCCAAGGAACTTTGCTAGTGGAGGCTGCCTAACAAGATCTCTGAACCTGTGAGTGAATAATTCCAGTGCCATTGTCAACCCCTTTGGCAGACAACTCTTGCTCCTCTTGACTGATCCTCAATGAGCTGAGAATTCCAGGCACCTTTACCATTGAAATTACCACTTTGTAGACAGATACTGTTTTCAGAGATCCTTTAAAATGTTTTGATCAAAGCTAATTTGTAGCAGACATCAACCTCAATCTCTGAACAAAATACTGGCATTACAGACAGTGTCACATATGCCTTGGTTAGAAAAAGACACACATAAGAAATACAAAGCTCGGTCTGGATGAACGAAAGTTAAGTCTTTAAAAATTGAGTGATTCAGGGACAAAAACTTTGAAATTCCTGTCCTAGAAAGGAAACTGAATGGTACTAATGGGTATATCCTACTGTATTTAGACTTACCCTTTCCATTTCTTTGAAGTCATCATCTAGCTTGGTTCCTTCGGCACCTCCTACTTTTTCACTCACTTTCTGTAGTTAAAAAAAGAACAAAAAACACATTCAGCAATAACTGAAAAATCTAGCCACCATGTTTTCCTGAGGAAATGTTTTGGGTTTTTTCTGGAAGTTGGTACCAACAGTCAGACATATTATTCTTTCTGAAAAACTCATTTCAAACTCACTTTAAGTTAAACAATGAGAAAATATTATGTTCCTGCTTAAGTTTCAGAGACCCAATCTTCTGCTGGTGTCAGAATTACATTATTATCATGTCTTTGCAAGATCACACCTCTATTTCTCTGTTGAATGCATGTCTGTATCTTGGAAGTTATCACACAATTAATCATCAATGACAAATCTGTACTAAGCAGATAGAAATATCCATGGTCACATGTGCTCATGAAAAAGGAGGTGATTTGACAGAATAAATTGAGGAAGGAATCAAGGCAATAAAAAATTTCTCATTGGAGCTCAAAAATGGCCCCAGTTGCTTTGCCCATTGTGTAGCAATGTAGCACCAACAGTACTAATCATGCCTAAGAACAGAGCACAATGCTCCCAAGGCTGGACTCCAGCCACCCAGAAGACAACAGGCACACATAACCCCATGACTAAGAACTATCGGAAACATACTGACTCAAGCCACAGCCAAACCTTCACCATTAAGAATCAAGTTTATAAATAAAAGCGATAGATACAAAAAAACTCTACGCACCATGCAAGACCTTGAGGTTCACATGAGTTATATATAAAATACCTGGTTGACAGATCTATTAGAAAGAATAAAAGGGAACTTTGTTTTCATGTCTTTAGAAAATACTCTGGTTTTTATAAAATACTCAGCTTGAAAACTAATTGGAAAAGGAATCTGTGCTACTGTTCCATTTCCCTGATTCAGTGGAACACACTGAACTGAGTTTCCACTTACTGTCAGTAAAAGTGACAGTAACAGATTTGAATGGTAACTGCTATGCAGCACCATCCAAATGGGTTATAGCAATTGCACTGTCAGTCACAAAGTGTTTTAGTGGTTTAATTCCACAACTAAGTCAGGTGCGTATGATCCAATGAATATACTGATCTTTCCTTGGGCTGTCATAAGAAATTCATTAGACTTATGATTTTGTGTTTTCTATCCACGTATAGTTCTTTGTAGTGAACGCCATGTAATTCTACGAACTTTCCTAGGTGCCTCTGAATCATCTTTATAATGTTGTAACGAAGTATAACTACTAATTTCATAGAAGTGACTCCTGCAATAATCAAGGAGAAACAAAAGAAAATTGCCCTTATTCCTCCTAGTTTCAACCACTGTGTTAACTCTTCTTTAGCTTTCTTTTTGCATGAAGAGGAGGAAGACTCACAGCCCATTATTCACATGCTATTAATAAAGTCCAGATATTTGATTAATTTTAAATTCACTTCAGTTCACTCCAACAATGCTGCAAGTGCAGCTTGGCTAAGCGTTTACTAACACAGGCTGTAATTATCTGTGCAATAGGAAATGGCTATCAGCTCTATTTTCTGTCAGCTCCCGGCAAATTAGCAGCCAAAATGGTGCATTAATGAGACTAGTACTATGAAACATCCTGAAAAAAACCCAAACAAACAACAAAGACCTTTACTTATCCCTTTTTCCTATATGGAAGAGATGTACAAACCCATGCAGACACTCTCTTGTCATTAATCTGAATGCAGATGAGTTTGCATGGTCTGTATTACCAAATTTGTGCCTTACAGAGATCAGTGAAGTACCACAAAAAAATCACAGATTTCAAACTCTGTGCTATTAGGAACAATTCTGCAGTGGCCAAGTGATAGATTCAACGTCCTGAAAGGTGCTATTAATTCTCAGTTTCCGTGAAAAATAGAAAAATAAAGCATAGAAGATCAGAGGCTTTCTTCACCAACCCTTGAATGAATCTTCTGCAAATGGACCTTCTATTCAGATGATACAGCAAAATCTGAACAAAAGCTTCCTACCACCAAGATTTCGTGTCCCTGAAAACAACAGTATGAAAATACGCTAGTACTTACATGTTCAAACCAGATTTTAAATAACTTAAGTTCAACTCTAAAGGATACAAAGTCCCCAAAGATAATTAATGTTCCAGCCCTTTTTCAGCTGTGGCTTTACTTCTCATCACTTTGAGATACTCTCATAGTTGATGAGGATTTGCAAAGTAATTGCAATTGTAATCCCCACAGATGCCCTAAAGTTCCTATCTCACATCTTCAAACCATAGCAATTACTCCTTCCTTTCATATGCATCATTATGTTCACTAAGGAATGTATGGCACTATTAATAATGCTGATCTGCAGTCTGCTGGAATGGTCACTGCTAAGACCAAAAGGCAGGACATCCTTTTCTTCTAAACATGGTTTCTATTTTTGGTCACTTTGTCAATATTAGCCTCAGAATCACCATCGTGAGTCACTCATTAAAGGTAACTAACAAAACTATGTACGAGCAACAAAATTCATTTGTAAAGCCCTGTGTCAAGTACTGTTACAGACAACAGAGGTGAATCAAAGAAGAGAGATGAGCTCTGAAGTCTTCAGTTCTGGAGCTGAGTGACTCATCTGTGTTAGATGGGTCTAACACTGTAAAAATTGGTCCGTGGTGGACCATCCTGATCAAGATAAAAAAGCAGGTATGTATCTGTATTAGATGGGTGTAACACTGGAATTGGCCCGGGGTAGACCACCCCGATCACCTTGAGTAGGGGTGCACGGTGGGGAGCCAGCAGGGCCACTCCTCCTGGCACAGGCTGGCCCCCTGCATCAAGATGAATTGGCGTGGGAAAAGGAAGCCAGCAGGGCCACTCCTCCTGACGCGGGCTGACCCCCTGCGTTGGGATGAGTTGGCACTTTTTGGGCTATAAAAGGCCCGGAGTTTGAGAAAGATCGAGAAGGGGGTGGATCCAACTACCTTTCATGGCAGACCTTACCTCCATGGGGGATACCCACAAAAGTATGTGCCTGCCACCCCGTTTGCTCTCAATGCACCCTGGAGCTGGCCTCCTGGTCATTGGACAAATGTGTGGGTCAGTAAGAATCTCTGCCTAACCTGGTTTTGGTAGTCTTTAGTTCTCTCTCTTTCTACCTTGGGATATCTCTGGATTTTACACCTATTTTAGATCTTGTAATAAACTTTCTAGCAGTTTAGGGGATGTGTGTGGCTTACATTCCTTCCACACCCGGAATCCTTAGATCCCTGGAACATCATCTTTCAGGGTGGTTACATCATAGGCCCTCAAAGAAGTACCTTCACCTCCATTATCCAGGCAAAAATTGGGTTTAGAAAAGCATAGACCACAAGAAAAGAGCTAAAACAAAATCCCACTTGAAAATTTAAACACTAGGGTTTTTTTTCTTAAAGGTCACAGCCACTCAGCAGCCAGAGATAAGAACTCAAATTAAGGATTCAAATATAAGGAAAAAAATAAATAAATCCTCAAAAGTTTTTGCCTCTTAGGTCAGGGAAAATCTCTTTCCAAGGCCATAATCTAAAGTGGTCAGGTGGGAGCAGTGGGCCTGAGAAAGGCAGTCTAAACAGAGTACAATTTGCAACAGAGCCCACATTTATGTCATCACTGTACTAAGTAAATTTAGAGATGTCCTGTAGCCCGTTTATATCCATCCTCCAAATCAACTGTTACAGCATTTCATTAAGGCTACCACTCCCACCATTCTTTAAGATTGCCAGATTTGATTATAATAGGTCATGAAGCTACACCAGTTTCATCAGCTGAGGATGTGCTCCTGCACTAAAAATCCAGAAGCAGACAAACCAGCCAGCTAACAATTACAGCTAGCCAGACAACAAACCGTCCTTTGCCATGTTATTTGAGTCGAGGTTTCAACATTTTGGTTCTTCCTTTACAAGAACCAAACAAAAGAATGAAAACTAGGCCTGTTAAGTTGTCCTTAAAAATGGTAATACTACATCTCAGTCCAGTCTTATGGAAGAATTAAGACCCAATCTGATACCACAGCCAACATTATTTACTTATTTTGTGATCATGCCTTCTCTTTCTAATGTTGATTACCTATTCCGTCTTCCCCCCAAAAGCCTTTGCAACAAAATGATCATTAAAATATCAGTACATTTTCATGAAATACAACAGATTCAACATCCAAACATTGAGTAAAAGTGTTGCTGTGCTCTGTATTTGGAGCTATGAATGCATGCCATAAAGAGACTGCTACTTTTTCAGTCTTACTGTGGTGTGACTGCTTTGTAAACAGGGAATTCAGTTTGCATCATTAGTTGAAGGCAGTGTATTGTGGTGGCAATCTATTCAAAGCTCATTTTCTACTTCTGTATAGAAGCAAAGTACCTTCTGTACATACTGCCAAACTTTCATTAAATTAATAGAGCTGCAGTCCTCAGGTGACTACTATTTGTCATTTAATGATGATCTTGCTGCATTTTCGTACTGTGCTAGGCTTTCTGGTAGCAGTTGTTTGAACTGTGAATTGCTCAGAAGGCACTCTAGTACACTGCAGTATCATAGTACTGAAGAACATCACTCTCATGGAATAGCTATCATCTAATGCACGTTTGATTTACATTAGTATCTTGTGAGTAGTGAGAAACGGCAGCATCAGATTCAGATCATCATCGGTTAGAGGACTGCTGTATGTGATATTGTACAAGTGATTATCAGTGTATATTATAAAAGGCAACTGGAATTTTCAGCGTATTTATAGTGACTGCACAAGCATATTTTTGTCCTGTGTGACATGCTGAATGATGACACAGCATTAAAAAAAAATAAAAAGTTAATTGCACAACTATATGAAAATGTAAGAAACGGCTCCATAACTAAGACCTACTAAGTTCTGTTGGTTCACATGAAATCCACCTACTGAACCATACTCCTGTCATTACGGCTTGTTTTTCAGATCCTGTCAGCCTTTACCAAAAACCTGCCTTTTTAATATTGTCTACCAGGAAAGAAACGAGTTTATTTTTTCTCCTCAGTGTAGGATTTATGCCACTTTTTGTTGTCCCTTCTGA